TTTTAAATATAAATTTCGAATAAAATTTAATAACTTATACAAACAAAAATTGAAAACTTTTTTTTTTCTATTTGAAGTTCTAGTTGTATACTTTTATATGATAAAAAAAAATTTCGATTTTCATTTATATAATATGTTAAATTTTAATTTAAAATTTATGTTTAAAAATTTTTTAAATCAAATTAAATTTATTAAAAATAAACTAAAAAGAATTAACTTTTAAATTAAACAAAACTGTTAATAACTAATGTTAGACTATCACATTAAGAGCCCTTTGCTCCCGTGACTATATCAGGGAATCTAAATTTGAAAAACTAAAAATTAAATAGGTTTTAAATTAGTTATTTATTTTTTATTTTAAAATATCATTTAATATATTTATTTTTATGTTATTATGCCTTACAAATGAGAGATTAAAAAAATTAATTTTTTTAAATATATTAAATCAATGATTAATATCAATTGAATCTCTAGAGAGTGAAAACTAGAACATGACAGCCTAACTGGAAAAAAAAAAATGGTAATCACCTGAGTAAAAGCCTTGACTCCGTGTCTTTCCAGTTTGACATCCAGGGTAGGATCATCGGCGAGCTGCAAAAGTACATCCACCATGTCCTTCGCCACATAATCTTTCACCCCTTTCCTTCTAGCGTTATGTTCATCCAACACATGCTCCAAAAACTGATCGAACTTCTTACTAAGAGCCTTCATTCTCTTGATATACCCTTGAAGATCCAAAAACCTTAGCCAAGGAATCGAATCCCCGATGTCCAATACCCCGTTGAGTAGGAAAAGTTCGTCAAGCATCTCCTTGAACTCCTTCGGGGTGATAATCTTGTTCTCGTTCTCGGCCTCCCCCGTGTACTTCTTCCCCAGCACCATGCGGCTGATCACGTTGAGACTGACATTGGAGAGGTGGTCTTTGAGCAGAATCGTGGTACCGGTGGAATTGTAAAGGCCTTTTAGCAGGAGGTTCATTTCTTCTTTTCGGATGTACTCGTAGGATTCCAGACGTTTGGCGCTAAAGAGTTCCACAAGGCACATTTTACGGGCTTGGCGCCAGTAGGGTCCGTAAGGGGACCATGTTATATCGGAGTAGTTGTAGGTGGTGTATTTTCCGGCCGCAGTTTTGGGGCGGGAAGCGAAGATGACGTCGTGGGTTTTGAGGAAGGTTTTGGCCATTTCAACAGAGGAGCCGACGACGACTGGGAATGAGCCGAAGCGGAGTTGCATGATTGGGCCATATTTTTGGGAGAGGGCGTGGATGGAGCGGTGGGGAAGTGAGCCGATCAGGTTGAGGTTGCCTATGATAGGCCATGGTTTTGGGCCAGGAGGGAGATTGAGTCTGCGGCGTCGGAGAAGGAGCGAGAGGAGGATGAGGGCTAGAGTTAGAAGCCATATGGCGATATAAGGCGTTTCCATGGCAGCCAAGGCGGTGGTTTTGCACGGTTGAGATGGTATTGAAGTGGAGAATGTGGGTATGTATATATAGCTGGCAGGTATAAACTCAACCCTCGGAAAGTCTTTGAAAAATTGATATTTAAATGACCATTATTATCATAAGTTTTTGTTTTTTTTCTTTTTCACTAAGTATCTCAGGTCATTAAAATTTTAAAACTTAATTTAACTTAGAGATCTTAGATTTAAACTTTAAAATTGATAGAAAGAGATTATAAAAATGTAAGAGTTATTTTTTATTGTACATTCTATCATCTCATGTAGAAAAAAACTATCATAAGTTTTTTTACTTTTGCTAATAATCTATTTGGTTTAATATTAATCTTTTTTCAATGAAATTAAGATATTTTAAACATGAATTATAAGGGAATATTTTTTTTTTGAACAATTTTATTATGGCGCAAGTTTGAAACCCGCTTAGAGGGAGAGGATGTGCACTTTTCAGTGGCTTAACCACTGGACCACATGGCCATGTGCGAATCACAAGGGAATATGGTTGGATGGATAAAAAGATAAAAAATAATTATTTTTTTATTATTTAATTTAAAATTAAAAAAATTATTTATTTTTGATACACAGTACACACTTTGATGGTAAGTCTCACCGACCGACAAGGGACATGACATAGGGTAACGCGTGACCCAAAATTGTCCGATTCCGAAGCCTTCCTGGTTTTTTCTGTGAAAATTCAGGACAGATTGCGGCTTTGCTCTCTTTTTTCACTAATAAAAGCCTTATGGTGGATGTATTCACCAGCTATTATTTTGTCCCCGGCCGTTGGTGGGCCGAATCCAACTGTGTAAATAAACATCTAATATTTGCATTATGTGCACATGACATTATGATATTACATTACATTTAATCTCAAATAGTTATGTACACATAATTTAAATTTTAAGTTGTTTTGTGCACAATACACATTTTAGAATCTCACTGAGTTATGCACACTTATCAAAAATCACAAATAAGTTATATATGTAAATTTTAAAACTTCAGTTCATCAAAAAAAAAAAAAAAAAAACTTCCAAAAAATTGTAGATGATAAATTACCTTAAATTTTAATTGCCTCAGTCTATTAACTACATTTTTCTCCACCCAAGAAGAATAAAACTACAATTTACTATTTAACAATTCAAATTATATTAGATTATATAAAAAAAATGTTAGATGAGGGAGCTTGCCCCTAGCCCCTTAAGCCCCTTTCATCAATGACTCACATTTTTTAGTCCAATCTAACCTAAACTATAAAACTTATTTTTATTAAAGTGTTTTTTAATTGGTATCTTTAAAGTGTAATTATTGAACATTTTAGTTATTAAATCTTATATAAACCTGAAAATGTTGATATTAATATTAACACTAATGTTATGTGTATTATTTTAAAAGAAGTTTTTGTAAATTGTCTTTTTAAATTTTTTTGGAAGATTTTTTAAAAAATTTTTGTTTTAATTAATATTTTTAAAAATCAGTTATTTAGATTAAAAATTTTATTCATATAAATTATACATGATAATTTTCAAATTATTATAGTAGGCATGCTTACTTCGTTGATTATAGAAAATTTAATACTATTAAATATATGTTAATAAATAGAGTTTTATTGATTAAAGGATTATAAGTATTAAATCAATATGAAAATTTACATGTATGATTTATATGAATTGAATTTTCAATCTAGCAGTCAATTTTTGAAAATATTAATTAGAATGTTAATTTTTAGATAGGTTCTCAAAACAAAATTTAAGAGGGACTTACCCTACATCATCCTCTTATTTTGGTTGGTCAGTCGATAAAATTAAAATTAAAATTTATTTTTTTATATAATTTAATAAGAAATTTTTTATCTTGTACCTTTAGGGTACAAAATAAGAGTGCAATAAATGCACCTTTTATAATTAAAAATTAATAAAAGTTAATTTAAATTTAATTAATTGATTAATTTAAACTATTTACATGATAATAATATTAAAATAAAAATTAATTTTTTTATATAAATTAATTATAAAAAAATATATTTATTGCATCATAATTTATATTTTGAAGGTACAAGTTAAACAAACCCATTTAATAATTAAAAACTACAATAGTTACACCTTAAAAGCACAAATTAAAAAAAAAATCTTTATTAAACTATCTTATCGAGAATATTATTAACTAGTAGAAGTAAACACTGTATTTATTAGAATGCATTTTAGTGGTTGGTGACTCAAGCACTTAAATATTGGTGTGTGGAGAAAAAGATACAGAAGTGGAGTGGTTATAGCTTCACCATTGTCTTGAACTTTTGGAAAATTCCGCTATATTTCTTCACGTTTGCTAACCTATATGATTTTTCTTAAATGAAAAAGCAGTATGATTACTAGGTCGAAGAAAAGAGGGAAGGCAGACTTTAAATTGAGTTGGGGTCAATGCCCCCGCTGGCTTTAGCGAAATATACGGGTTATGGGTTATTTATCTATTTATTTATACATTTTTCTTGAATTAAGGCTCACTTACACATATAAGTTTTATATAAATTATTAATGGTTAATTTCTAAATAATATTCTAAAAACTTGAGCATGGTGCGAATAGATTTTGATATAAGTATCTTGAGGTTTGGGGTTTTGAGTTATATGTTGTACACAAAATTAATTCAAATTTATTCTGATTTCTTTTAGTTTGTATGTTATATATGTTGAATGGTGATATACAATCAAAACATGATATAAACAGTGATTTAGGTTGCATTTAGAGTTATTTTTTTACAATTTTCTTTCATAGTACTTTAAAATAATGTTACTAATTTATTATAATTAAATTAATTTTAATTGATATTTTATATAAGTTCATATTTATATTAATGTATAAGATTTTTTTAAAATAATTGTTAAACAATAATAACATAATTTTTTTCATAATAAAATATTAAAAAACTCACATATATAACACTTTACGATAATTTTAAACACAATTTTATACCTATCAAA